AGTGATGGCCTGCTGTGATGTGTTAATGGATTACAGAGTAAAAAACAAAACTTTCCTCCTAGAGAAATGTGTGAAGACTCTTAATGTTGGCAAGTCATTAATCACTGGTGTTCTGGAGTCAGTTGAGTACAGGTTGCTAGTCAAGTTGGAATTCTATTTATTTGGGACACGTGTGCCTCTCTCGACATTAAGTGTTTTCACTAACATGTTAGGGGAAGATGTTTTTCCTCTGATTCTCATGGATTCTTGTAAACAGCATATTTTGCCATTTAGATCAAAACTGAAACAGGTGAGGTTTAAAAAAAAAGCTGTCTTTAAATGGTCTTACACTTGTATAGTGCTTTTCTACGCTTTGCAGCACAGTCAAAGCGCTTTCAGACTACTTGGCCATTCACCCATCAGTGTTATCACCGGGAGCAACTGGGGGTCCAGTGTCTTACTCAAGGACACTTTAACATGTTGATTGGACAAGCTGGGAATCGAACCACTAATCTGCCAGTTAGAAAACAACCTGCTCTACCTCCTGAGCCATAGCCGCCCCCAATTTAACTATCTTGGAATTTTCAAAGTATCACAAGTAGATAGTACTTAAAAAAAAAAAATAAAAAAAAAGTTAGGCAGTATGTCACTTCAGAAGAGAAGAATGAGACAGTTCCTGGAGACAAATGTTGTCTTTTCCATGTTTTTTATTCAAGGGATGTACATTTCTTTTTACACAATTTGAACAGAAGCTGAAAAGAGGAGCAATTTGAAATATGTATATAGTATAAAAAACACAGAAGAAGAGCAACAGCATCCACACAAAATAATTTATATATACTGTATATATCACATGACGGAGTGTGGGAAAAAAGGTGAAAATACATTAAGTGTCTGAGTAAACTGATTTGAAGAAAGGTGAAATACACAGCAGGGAATGGAATATAATAATTTAACAAACATGAACGTCACTATTCACAAACATGTAATTGTAACTCAGAATAACATGAAATGTACCTCATTTTAGTAAAACAATACTAACAGTTAAGAGAGTAAAAGATACGGTGGGCACTCACAGTGCAGTGATAAGAAAATAGCATTAATGTAGACATTTTTACAGTTTTTTTTTTCTTTAAATATTCTGATAGCATAGAAGCTGTTAAAATGCACATTTGAACCACTTTTGATTTAGTCTCGAATGTTCTGTGATGTCTGGTTTCAAGCATCAATGACATGGATCCCCATTTCCTTAGCAATGAGAGGAGTTAGCTTGATTTAAAGTCCTGCCTTTTACATGTTTTTGCCTGAAGTCCTTATTCAGTGCTTCAATGATTATTACAAAAATAGAGATTTGAAGGGGCAACAGACAGAACCAGACCTTCAATGTGTTCTTTGCCTTTCTCCTGGTGAAAGGACAATTTATTGCTATGGAAGAGAAGGAATACATACAAATAAGGGATGGCACTTTGACTTTAGTATGATGTGAATATACCTAAAAGTCTCTGTTTAAAACTGAATTAATCAAAAGGCAGTAAATTAATCAAATGAAGAACCCTTTAAAGTAGCTTCTACATAGCACTGAATCTTGACGGTTAACTTTTACATGGTTAAACTATTTTCAAATTTAGCAGACACAGAGCAACATTAGCATTGATTTGTAGTTGTGTTTGTGTCCACCTGATTCACTTTTTGTTTTGCTTTGGTTTGGTCTCCATTAACTCCTGTGGGGGAAACAAAAATAAATTTGGCTGTTTAACTGCTAAATGCTGCACTTTGTTCACCAGTAAATCACTGTCTTTGTCTGTCTCTTGTTTTTAATTAGCCAGCTCCGGTTTCACATACTTCTGTGAAAGAGCTAAGAGTAATTTCTTTTCTTGAATTAAGCACCCAGTGAAAAATAGGCTCGATAAAATTCACTTAGCACAATTCATTTTTTAATGTATACATTTTTAAGTTCATTTAAAGTAGTACATTTAAAATGAGGTTTTTTCTTTAAAAGACATGGTAAAGTGATTAGAGCTATTAAGGGGAGCGAGTGATGGGGAATGACATACAACAAAGATCTCCTGCTGCATTTTCAAAAGCCTCAAAGTCTCTTCTAACTATCTGGGTGAAAACAAATCTGTCAGCAACATGAAAAAAAATACGTTTACCCTGTTTTGCTAAGTTGTTAGTGCTCTGGCAAGGTAGTCAGAAAAGCGCAGTATGCACTGATGCAAAAACGAACAAGAACATTATTTTATATACTGTACGTGTGTACTACATGGACAGGACACCAGACGTTTGAGTCTTTGAAAATTCTGGAAATATGTTTAGAGCTGTGGAGTTAAGCAACTTACTGGGTTTTTCAAAAACAGGTGGTGCAATGATGGTACACAATAGTCACAGACTGGGGCTACTAGTCCTTAAGCAATAACAGTGACTCGGCTTCTAAAACTACACTGTAAAATCAAACAAAGGGCCTCATAAAAGGGAAACAGGGTGAGCTGTTAGCTAGGTGGCCATTTGTTTATTTCTTACACTATCTGTGATCCCTTTACACAGAGTGGTTTTGCTCAAGGTTAACCTCAGAAGTATTAATAATTTGAAGGTGTATCAAACCCTGAAGCCAAACATTAGCTGTTTCAGCATGTCTAATGTCTTTCCTATTACTGTAATATTCCTGCATTTTGGAAAAATGTTTGTTGAGTTATCCAGAATAACATGTCTAGCTACATCAAAACAGAAAACAAGTACATCTTCCACCAACTCCAAAGTTCTCTTTTGTATCCTCACATCTTGTATTTAACATATAAGAATGAGAAACCTGGCACATAATACTTTCCTAAAAGGGTGGACTTGAATAAATGTGATGAAAATGTCTTGCTGCACTATGATAGGTTTGGGCTTTCTAATAAACAGCTAATATAATAGCAATATGACTGACTTTTCAATTGTACAAAAGCTGGAGGTACAGAGACTGACTTCCCCAGTGTGAAGCCAGTCCAGTACATCTCCATGCTCTTGTTTACTGACACAGACCAGGAATAAATACTGTCTCTAAGAAAGGCTGTAGATTTTCTGACATGAGATAACCTGATTTGATAAAGCAGAAAACATCAGATGTGAGACAAAAAGAGAACCAAGTATATCCGAGTAAAAAAAAATGCATATAATAAAAACTGCAGTTTTGGCCTGTGAGTCAGACTGACCTATCTGTTTTTTAGCTTTCACATGAAAGAAAGAAAACTGCATTCTTTTGACAATGGGCTGCAGAGACAGTATGCCCTTTGCACCTTGTGTATACCTCATGTACAGTGTTGGATTATTATACTTGCTACCACGCATCCAAAACCTAATGTTAACTACAAGAAAAGATTAAAAAATAAGGTGAAAGGAAGGCAGTGATTGTCTGTTGCGGCTCAAAAAACCTTGACAGTTTGGTTAGAATACAGTGTATAGTGATTTCATTGGTTGCCTGTATATATACCAAATACACACACATACTATATACACTCTTGGACAAACATAATATTGCGACACCAGGAGAAAAAGACACATGAATGTAAACATATTAATTATGCAGTTTTCCTGATTTGCTACTTTGACCTGAGCCCATATTTATCAAAGTTCCAAGATTCTTTAGGGAGTACTCAATTAAGCATTGCACTTTGAAAAAGTTGGGAAACTGCCTGGTAAATTTCCTTCAAGCTCCACAACCTCACCTTCTAAAACAAGCTCATCAGGGATCATCATCCTTTATTAGCAGACTCAAGGTCCATACAAAAAAGAAAAAAAATAAAGGATATAAAAGAAGAAAAAAAATAAAAATCATAAAAGACATTTATACCAATGTTTCCACAGAGAGGATTGGTAACGTACTGCACTAAAACCAGGATTAGCCAGCATCATTATAAGACTGTTCTCAGAGTTATTCACACGACAGATAAATCTGTACATCAGGTTTCTCATTAATGCCTGATGTTAGTACATGGACCTGTGAACACAACAGACTGGCGCTGGTGGACCTAGGCTTCTTAAGCAGAATCCTCAAGGCATCATTATAAGCAACTTTAAGTTTCTGTAAAGTAGCTACCTTATATTTACACCACAATGGGGCAGTATACAACGGTGTACAGTATGTTCTGAACAGATGAACTTTAACATTAGCAGAACACATGTGAAATTTCCTAACCAACATATTAGCTGGAGCATACAAAATGCG